ACGAATTTTTTTACTAAAACTTGAAATATGCAGTAGAAGAAACACTTTTAACCAAATAGCAAATGAAAAAGGTGTTAGATATGAACAAAAAAGGATTACATTAAAAACAAGGATTACTACTTAGTTTGGATTAAATAAGAGTAATCGTATCAATGAATGTTTTGTAGATGTCATCATTGTTGTGTATATTTCATGCAGAATCATATCTTTTTCTTTCCCTTACATATGGATTTAATGCCTCATAATCAGCTGAAAAAAAAAGTTAGCTCATTACATCTTCACCAACTGGTAAATGGTTTATTCGCTGTCTAGAACCCGAAAGAAAAACAAACAAATTGGTATAACACAGACTTAGGAAATAAAAGTATTGAAGTACAAGAAGTCAATAACTGGAAGGAATATTAAATACGTCCATAATATATGTTCCATGAAAGATGGATTTGAATTATATAGATAGCTAGAAAATTGAGAAAAATTCATGGACAAATTTGCACTCGGTTTAACTTCATTGGAAATACGACACTGCAAACACCTGTTTCCTAAATTACTACAGCATTTGATTTCAGATTTAACTCTTCCGAAGTATTCACACCTGAATGAAATTCAAGAATTCCATTACATTTCTTTTTAGAACATAACAAGATGACATAAAAGAAAACCAGCTAATAGCCCAAGCTAAAGTAATGAAGGGTGTGTTTAATCATCTATTATAACACTGTTGTGCATGTCACAAGAAAAAAATGTGAAATGGTAATTTCTTTTACATTGACTGATAAATTTACAAAGTTCTATTATAATGAAAAGACTGTTGTATCCAGAGAAAAAAAATGTGAATAGAAATCATTTTACGTTGATCTAAATATTTGTTAAGTTTTATTTTAATGAAATTCAAATTAATTTACTATATTATTGTTTTTGAAGAGGAAAGCTTCTTTGTACTCATGAAATAATTCATGAAAAAGAAGATGAACTCACCAACGAGAAAGGTCTCACTGATTCTGTTAAGCTCCCGAGTGACATCAGCAATATCCAATCTATCTTTTGGTGATTCCGAAGAACAAGAAAGTCCAATTCTAAAAAGGGAAAGTAAGCACATCTCAACATTTGGATCAAGATTCCAATTGTTTCCTTTCAACGGTGGTGCTTCATATATTGGAATAAGTCGTGGATCCAAAATCTGCAGAAGATTATCAGGAAATGAAGTTATAATGAAGTTACGAAGATTTTGACCATCTTCAAACATTTCATCGGTGGGACTTCTTCCTGTAAGCATTTCCAACATAAGAATCCCAAAGCTGTACATGTCGCCGGAAGTTGATACTTCAAGACCCACTCCATACTCTAAAATATATAACAAGAACTGTCAATACAAAATGCTGATAATGAACAAAAGCTGACACCAAAAGATATGGGAATTTTCAGAAACTAGTGATTCAAAAGATAATGAAGCCACCATTTTTGGTTGTGCTGTGCATTTATGTCCGTCCCTTCTGCTTGGCTTCCTCCCTCTGCATACCAAAACTCGGTATATATGTGATTTTAAATCTACAAATTTTAATTGCATTTGTTTTTCAATTATATTATTTTAAAAATATTATGTTTTAATGACAGTAATATTTAATAAATTTTTAATATTTATTATTTATTATTTTGATAAATATATTTTTATTAATAATTGAATAATATATTAATTATAAATTAAAATTATTTGATTTTTAAAAATTGGACATAATAAACTAAGGCGTCCGCCCTATTCATTCCACGAAAAAATATAAAATTTATCCAATCTGCGACATATAACTTTTTTTACTAACAACAATACAATAAAATGTTTAAACTTGGAACAAACGAATATAAATTATATTTATAAATGAAATTATTAAAGGAAAAAAATATGTTTTGTTTTCAAATAATAAATATAATATAATACAATAGTATATTTTTCAAAATTTAAAATTTGTTATATTAGTGAAAAAATTATTATAATTTTAAATCTAACAAATTAAATTTTTATATGATACTTAGTACTATTTTATTACTTAAAAGTAGCAAATCATTGTAATATTTTAGATAAACATCACTATAAATAGTTATAAATTTTAAATTATTATTTGTTGGTGTGACCATTATTAACCACAACCATATTTAAGTTATAATTGTATGATTGTGACAATTAAATATATGCTACTGTATTTTTAATTTTATATTTTTAAACTTTTAGCGTTAATGACTTAAATTTTACATAGTGATTATTTAAATTCATCGTTCGCAGATAAAAACTATGTATAATATACTTCCAACTTTTAAAATTGAGAGATTAAATTATCTTTTTAAGAAAAAAAAAACCCTTAAATTACCTCTCTCAATTGGACATTATAAAATTTAGGACTAAAAATTTCATTTTCAGTAATTATAAGTTATATTTTTATTGTGTTTTAATATATGAATAATGAACATAATTCATGTACATCAATAGTCTTTTTTTTGAGTTCCATTTGTAACTACTAGGACAAAAATTTCATAGAATTTATTTTTTGTCTTCTGTCTATTATGGATTATTTCACAATTACATGAGGTTTTTCTTTATTTGGACATATGAATGCATCAATTCATCCTTAAAGTAATATCTATCATTCACATACACTTAATGCTGCAATACTCCATCAGAGTAGTGGACTTACTATACTTCCTTTACTTTTATTTTCTTTATTTTCCAAATTTTAATGCCGAACATCAAAATGCATAGCACCCAATTTTTATTTTTAATACTTCGGGAAAAACTTGGCTTTTTGAGACATGAAATTCATATTCACTATTGAAGTTAAAAAAAAAAAAAAAATGTTTGAATGACATATTCAAGCTAATAAGTATTTTTGGTTGACATATGGGTGTGTTTAACCACACAATCATTAATGGCAAACTAAGTATCAAGATTAACAACATTAATTGGAATGCAACCTAATGAAACAACTGACAATGAAAATGGTGGTAATATAGAACCATACAGAGGATGTAAAATGCACCTGACCTTAGCTTATGTTATTCATGTCAATTTCACTGCATCAGTGTTTCTAAAATATGGGGACTAAAGTCACAGCAAAAATATAGTGACTAAAATCACAAATCAAGAATTAAAGGAGGTACAAAATTACAAATTAGCTAAAATTTATTATGCATCAACAAAACTAATCATTCACCCTGCACCTTTCAATTATTGTCACCAATGTATCAAGCCTTCCTCACACAGTTCATAAATACCTTAATTGAAAAGACATTACTGGATTTTAAAATTGGATTTATATATTTGAATGCAGTATCACTCTGGTATGTGGAAAAGAGCATTCCAATGACTAAGTCATATAATTCGTCGTCAGGGAGACAGAATAACTGTCTGAATGTTTTAAATTGATGAGCAGCTGCGAGAGTAGTGTCGACGTTTACCTCGCAAATGTCACCTCAAACACGTTCGCCAACTAGTCGGATCTCTCAACATTATTTAAAACTGCATAGAGAATTACTGAACCAATATTTCTCAAAACTAAGAGAAGTGCTAGAAGTTGAGTATCTTCCTGACGATGCTGTCAATTTCGAAATAGAGAAATTTGATACTGTTAGCAAAGCTAACATGTATATCTGCTTAACGATAAATGAGTTAAAGAATAAATTTCAGATCTATCCCCAAAGAAGAGAAGGAGCAAGTAATTTATAATAATAAAATATATAATATCTTTTATTAAATTTCTAATTTTTTGAAATTATAAGAAATATCAAAAAATTAGAAATTTAAGATATTATATATTTTTATTATTATTATAAAATACTTACTTCTTCTCTTCCTCTTTCCCTATTTGATAGATCTGAAATTTATTCTTTAACTCATTTGTTATTAAGTAGATATACCTGTTAGCCTTGCTAACAGTATCAAATTTCTCCATTGCGAAATTGACAAGATCGTCAAAAAGATGCTCAACTTCTAGCACTTCTCTTAGTTTTGAGAAACACCGGTTTCTATGCAGTTCTAAATAATATCTCGGAGGTCCGACTCAGTTGACGAACATGTTTGAAGTGACATTTACGAGGTCACGTTGAGACTACTCTCACTCACGCTAGCTCATCTCTTCAAACCATAAAAAAAATAATAAATAATATTATTAATTATAATAAAAAAATATAATATAATAATAAATAATTTTATTAATTATAATCAAAACAAAAAATTTTATTATGCAATTTATTAATAAATAATTTTATAAAATTACAATAATAAAAAACAATAATAAAAAATTGTATATATTATAACAATAAAGAAATAATAATTTATTTTATTACATCCGTTACCTTGTATGCAACTCCCCAAAATCAAAATGAGCTAGTGAATATTAAGTAGAACCTTAGTTCTTTTACATACTATTTTTATTTCAATCATTTGAGTAAATTATTCAATATGGGACTATCAATTACACAATTTAGCGTTTTACAAACAACTTTAACCAGTGATAGTCCATCATAAAAAACAGCGTAGAGACTAAAACTTGCACTTTCACTACATAAGAACTAAAACTTTAAATAGAGACAAGTATTATCAGGAACAGCTAACCAAGTGAAACTATAATAGGGAATGCAGGGGGTGGAATTACCTGAGACTTTGCAACCTAATGAAAGAACTGACAATGAAAATGGTAATATAGAACCATATAGAGGATGTAAAATGCACCTGACCTTAGCTTATCTTATTCATGTCAATTTCACTACATCAATTTCTAAAATATGGGGACTAAAGTCACAGCAAAGATATAGTGACTAAAATCACAGATCAAGAATTAAAGGAGGTACAAAATTACAAATTAGCTAAAATTTATTATGCATCAACAAAACTAATCATTCACCCTGCACCTTTCAATTATTGTCACCAATGTATCAAGCCTTCCTCACACAGTTCATAAATACCTTGATTGACAAGACATTACTGGATTTTAAAATTGGATTTATATATTTGAATGCAGTATCACTCTGGTATGTGGAAAAGAGCATTCCAATGACTGAGTCATATGATTCGTCGTCAGGGAGATAGAATAACAGTCTGAATGTTTTAAATTGATGACCAGCTGTGAGAGTAGTGTCGACGTTTACCTCGCAAATGTCACCTCAAACACGTTCGCCAACTAGTCGGATCTCCCTCATTTAAAATTGCATAGAGAATTACTGAACCAATATTTCTCAAAACTAAGAGAAGCGCTAGAAGTTGAGCATCTTCCTGACGATGCTGTCAATTTCGAAATGGAGAAATTTGATACTGTTAACAAGGCTAACATGTATATCTGCTTAACGATAAAAGAGTTAAAAAATAAATTTCAGATCTATTCTCAAGAAGAGAAGGAGTAAGTAATTTATAATAAAAAAAATATATAACATTTTTTATTAAATTTCTAATTTTTTGAAATTATAAAAAATTTTAAAAAATTAGAAATTTAATAAAAGATATTATATAATTTTATTATTATAAATTACCTACTCCTTCTCTTGCTCTTTCCCCATTTGATAGATCTGAAATTTATTCTTTAACTCATTTGTCATTAAGTAGATATACATGTTAGCCTTGCTAACGCATCAAATTTCTCCATTGCGAAATTGACAAGCATCGTCGAAAGATGCTTAACTTCTAGCGCTTCTCTTAGTTTTGAGAAACACCTGGTTTCTATGCTCGTTCTAAATAATATCGAGAGGTCCGACTAGTTGACGAACATGTTTAAGGTGATATTTACGAGGTTACGTTGAGACTACTCTCACTCACGCTGCTCATCACTTCAAAACAATAAAAAAATAAAAAAAATAATATTATTAATTATAATAAATAAATATAATATAATAATAAATAATTTTATTAATTATAATGAAAATAAAAAATTTTATTATATAATTTATTAATAAATAATTTTATAAAATTATAATAATAAAAAACAATAATAAAAAATTATATATATTATAATATAGGGACTAAAGTCACTGTATCAATGACTTTATAGTATGGGGACTAAAGTCACTGCATCAATTTCTAAAATATGGGGACTAAAGTCACAACAAAGATATAGTGACTAAAATCACAGATCAAGAATTAAAGGAGGTACAAAATTACAAATTAGCTAAAATTTATTATACATCAACAAAACTAATCATTCACCCTGCACCTTTCAATTATTGTCACCAATGTATCAAGCCTTCCTCACACAGTTCATAAATACCTTAATTGACAAGACATTACTGGATTTTAAAATTGGATTTATATATTTGAATGCAGTATCACTCTGGTATGTGGAAAAGAGCATTCCAATGACTAAGCCATATGATTCGTCGTCAGGGAGACAGAATAACTGTCTGAATGTTTTAAAGTGATGAGCAGCAGTGAGAGTGAGAATAGTGTCGACGTTACCTCGCAAATGTCACCTCAAGCACGTTCGCCAACTAATCGAATCTCCCA